TTCTCGGGCCTTATATGGCCGGGGCCGGGCATTTCCCACTTCAGTATAAGGGAAAAGGTTCACCTGGGGAGACCTCCAAGACTCTGTGCCACTTCCTCCTCTCTGATACCTGCCCATCAGCTTCTCTGAATCTCCATCTCCGTCTCCTCCATTTGGTGAAACCACTAGTCTCTGTTTAGGTTCCCCTACCGGCTCTATGACCTGAACTCTGGTTCCAGGCAGTAAGCTGGGATCACTATAGGACTTACCTTATTTTTTTATTTTTATTTTTTTGTTAATTCTTACCCGAGGATATGTTTCCACTGATTTTTAAAGAGAGTGGAAATGAGGGGGAGAGACAGAGAGAAACACTGATGTGAGAGAGACACATCACATGCACCCTGACCAGGGCCGGGGGGATCAAGCTGCAAGCAGCACATGCCCTTGATTAGAATTGAACCTGGGACCCTTCAGTCCGCAGGCTGACACCCTATCCACTGAGCCAAACCAGCCAGGGCAGGACTCACCTTAGTTGTTTCTCTTCTTTCGGGATCACAATTCAAGTATTTAGATATCCTCCAATATCTAAAAATACTGGTTTTCAGTAGGAGGGCAATCTGCCGAAGCAAAAGTCCAAATATAATTGTTAAAACCTATTTAAAAAACTGAATTGTGTTGTTTAATCTTAATCATACTCAAAACTGAAAAAAAAAAAAGCCCTTCATACTATAGTAATCATAGTAAAGGCTGTTGAAAATGTTCTTTATGGTAGCTATTATCTCTAACTTCCCACGCTTTAACTGGGTATATTCTGGCTTCTACCCTCCACTTCACTGAAAGAGCTCTTATCACACCATCTATAACCATCTAATTGCTCTAAAGAATATATTTTAGTCTCTTTTTTACTTGATTTTATACAGTTGTGCAATCCAATATGGTAGCCACTATCCACATGGAGCAAGTGAGTACCTGAAAAGTGGCTAGTCCAAATTGAAAGGTACTGGAGGTATAAAATACACACCAGATTTCAAAATAACTTAGTATTGAAAAAAAAAGGCTATAACATACTTTATTAATAACTTTATATTAATTAAATGGTGAAATGATAATGTTTTAAATATTTTGGGTTAAACAAAACATATTTATAAATTAATTTACCTATTTCTTTTTAAACTTTCTAATATTACTACTAAAAAATTTACAATTACATATGTGACTCTCATTGTACATCTAAAGGCCAGTACTGTTCTGCAGCAACCTCTCCCTCTCATACTGCTAGAGCCCTGCTTTCAACTCTTGCCTCCCTTGGTAGGTGGGACTTTGCTCTGCCTTTGATTTCTGGCTACCTCACTGCCTCCTCCTTCTGCGACTTCCTTTGAGATCTAAATCTATTGTTTGCAAATTTTAGCATGCTGCAAAATTGTGTAATTGCTTGCCAACATCTCAGATTCTTTCTTTTTTAAAAAAATATATTTTTATTGATTTCAGAGAGGGTGAGGGAGAAGAGAGATAGAAACATCAATGATGAGAGAGAATCATTGATTGACTATCTCTGGCACATCCCCTACTGGGGATCAAACCTGCAACTCTGGCATGTGCCCTTAACTGGAATCGAACCCAGGACCCTTCAGCCAGCAGGCTGACACTCTATACACTGAGCCAAACCAGCTAGGGCTCAGATTCCTTCTTGAAGCTTATCTGTAAAGACTGATCTAGTATTAAGATTTACCAAAACGGATCTTCAGCTCAAATTCCTCTCATCGCCTTCCTCTTCTTTCCAACGGCATACTGTGCATCTTCACTTGGCTGTCTTAGACTTAACATATCCAAGGTTTAATTCCTTCTCTCTGTTCTCCATAACCCATTTCTCCTTTTGTCCTCCCAATTACCCAAGCCAGAACCCTAAAATTATTCTCTCCTTCTTCCTCACATCTATAGCTAATCAGTTACTAAGTAGCCTGCTTGCTCTCTATGCTTTCTTAAGTCCCTTAGTTTGGGGTATGTCAATCTTGGCACTATTGAAATTTTGAACCAGATCATTCTTTTGTGAGGGGTTGTCTTCCACAACATAGCATGTTTAGGAACTCTCCTGTCCTCATCCCACTAAATATCAGTAGCACCCCCTAGATGGAAAAAAAATGTTTCCAGACATTACTAAATGTTTAAGGAAGGGGTAGGGGAAAGAATCATCTCACCCCATAGAGACACTGAGTTGATGGAGGACATCATTATTAATCTCTGCATTAGGGAAAAAGAGAACTGGCTCTCCTGCTCAGTACTGTACTTCTTCCCTATTCTCCATACTCCTCACAGTTTTCCACTTCAGTTCAGAATAAAGTTTAGTCTCTCCTATACAACATAAAAAAGAGCATTATCTGTCCTCTACTTACCTTTCTCAGCTTCCCACTCCAGCTATACTGAATTCCTTGCAGTTTCCTTAGGGATGGATGAAAGTCATAAGAAGTGTTAGTCAGAAAAAGTGTTAAATACACTGGCAGCTTATGAGATAAATGCAAAATTTATAGGATGTTTTATATAGAGAATATGAGTAAGCATGTATTTTGTGAAACATAGGCAGAATTCCATTAAATATACATAGTGAGTACACTGTAAGGCATCCCAAGTTGCAAATATCATGGAACAGAGGGACATTTATAGTAAAAACAAAAAAGGGGGGGGGGTGGGCAGAAAAACTAAGCTATGAATAATTATGCCATCTCTGGGCTGACAGCCATGTCACCACCAAATCATTCATCCAGAGGTGACACCTGGTATAATCTCACATGTGCTCAATCCCAAAAATAAATTAATTAATAAATTAATTAATGCAAATAAACCCATGTCTGTTTAGGCTAATTAGTGAGCCCTGGTTGTGGCCAGCCATGTTTCCCCGCACCTAGCCAACAGAGCAAGCATGTGGGCCTCCCTTCTGTGACCTGAACTCTGGTCCTCAAAAGCATATCATCAATGGAAGAGGTTGACTGGATATCTGAACGTTGTTTAACTCCAGATCCAAGCGATGTCCTTCCACTTGTTTGCATCCTCTCCTAAACGTGTCAGTGTATTCCTACTCTTTTCCCTGGGTATTAAAATGGAGTCCATAAACCCTTTTATTCAAGCATCTTCATTTGGTCTGTGAGTCTTCTATTTCATTACCTCTAGGACAGCCTGCCTCGCAGCAGTTTGCCTGAAAGCCCCCATTGCATCGGGTTAGTTTTCCACAGGACAGCTCAGTCAATGCAAGCAATAATCTCCTCTCAGAATGCCCCTGCCTCAGTAATCTTCATTTTACCCTGTTCATGTTCTGTGTTCCCCTTGTGGCATTTATCACGCCACCCTGGGGTTCACGCTTGCCTCCTTTGTTTCTCTCTCTGGCCTGTGAGCTCTTTGAAAGGAGGGGTGAGTTTTACTCGTTTGTCTCATTTTCTCTTAGCAAAGTGCCAACCATAAAGTAACTACTAAAAAAGCTACTGCATGCGACCTCCGGAAGAAACAGCTGAATGGGTTACCTGCTGTTTTTGCCTTTCTCTCATTCCCCAGTTCCAAGACTGGTGTAATAGGGTGAGTAGCAAAACCCAGCCTGCTTGCACGGCAACATGGAGGTGGTGGAAGAGCCGCAGGCGCCCTGCAGGGAACAACCTACATCAAGTGTGTACAGCATTGCTAGCAAGCTCGGGCCTTGGTGGACTGCATCTCCCTGTCTCACTTTTATTTTTTCCTTCACTTCGGTGGCTACAAAAACAGTACTGGGGGGCTGGGAGGCTTTTCCCTCCACCTCCCACCTGAAAATGGTTGAAGGCTGAGTCCCTTTAGCCTAGCAGTGGTTCTCAACCTTCCTAATGCCGCGACCCTTTAATACAGGTCCTCATGTTGTGGTGACCCCCCCAACCATAAAATTATTTCCGTTGCTACTTCATAACTGTAATTTTGCTACTGTTATGAATCGTAATGTAAATATCTGATATGCTATATGTGTTTTCCGATGGTCGCGACCCACAGGTTGAGTACCCCTGGAAGGGGTCTTGAGCTCTCAAAGACGCTAAATGAATGAAATCCACTCTAAAATGAATGAGTACCTAAACTGTGGCAAACATTAGAGATACAAGAGAGTGATTTCTCCCCTCAAAACATTTACAAGCATCTTCTCGGAGCCCATATTATACTCAAAGTAATAAACACCTATTTTTTTTTTAATAGTTTAAAAAGAGATGCATTTTGGAATACTTTTAGCTTGAATAAAATTAATGAAATAAAATGTGAGACCTTAAATAAAGGGTCTGTTCTTGAGGTCCTTTTAACACAGGTCCTTCTACTCCACGGGTTAGAAAGATTGGGGTGCAAACATTTGGCTTCACGATCAGGCGTCGAGATTCGCGAACAGAACCCAAGTTAGCCAAACCTGCACCCGGGAAGAGGCGGCCCCCGGGACCGAGCAGTTCCCGAAAACAACAACATCTCGCCAGCGCAAGAAGCAACTGTTGCCTCACCTTGAATCATTCATCCGCCCATTGACGCCGCCTCGTCCTTTCCGCCGCGGGGGGGCGCCAGGCTCCTTCCGCTCTAGGCTCCCCCCGCGTCGCTCTCTATGGTCGCGCCGGGCCCCTCTAGCTCTCGCTCGCCGACCTCTCGGTGGTAGTGCGAGGGCGCGCCGAGGAGCAGGCCGCGGAGGTGGCGGTGCGTGGTTACAAGTTCTGTGCGAACCCGGGCGGCGGAGCTCGCGCTCAGGTGGAACGGGCCGCGGGGGAGGTTCTGGGGGAAGAAGCGGGGGCGGGGGCGTGGGCGTGGAGACGGGTCCCTGGAAAGGAGGGAGACTCGGGCCGGGTCACGGAGGCCGGAGAGGAGGCCCGGAAGCGGGAGGGGACTTTTCTGCAGCCTCCCGATCCGCCGATCTCCGACCCGGTTCATCCGACGCCCCTTGGTGCCCAGGCCCTGCGCGGTGGCCGCCGCATCTGTCGCGTCTGCGGGTTGTCGCCTCTCGTCCGGAGCCCGGGAGTCCTCAAAGCGATGGGTTAGTGGATGAGGTTAAAATATGGTGGCCTTCAACCCCGTACCCAGCGTCTCTCTCTCCTGTTTTGTTTTTATTCTTTGTAATCGGAGTCCTCCCGGCCCTAGATGTGTGGTTGAGGCCGGAGGCGGAATAGTAGTCGTTTTTTTTATCCCGGTACCATGAACATAGTAGGTCCTCCTTGGACGGATCTGGTGGCCTGAAACATTTGGATAGAGCCGCTCACAGGGGCGTCAGGCCTGTGACCTCCACAGGGTTGGGGTGGGAAGGATTGCCGCATCCTGGGGACTTAGTCGCATTGATTTGGGGAGATTTAGGCCTCTTGGGGTGAGATTCCTATCCTTTCTGGACAGGTATTCGTTGAAAAGACGTTGTGAAGAGTCTACTAGGTGTCAGTGTTGTGCTGGAGACGTCAAGGGTACAGGGGACCCAGGTGATTTCTTGCCCTCACAGAACTAATGTGTAAGGGGGGGCGGGGGGCGACTTAACAAACAACGAGCCTGTGATGAGTGCTATGCAAAGGGAAGCCCCCGGAGTTCTTGTTCCTCCACCGGATGATAAAGAAGGTGATGCCATAGAGTTCTGTCCTCCAACAGCTGAGAAAGCACCGTGAGGTCAGCTCAGCTCCCAGGGAAGTGCAGCCAGAGGAAGGAGGGCCTGCAACCCTGGTATCTGGGCGAGGCCCCGCAGATCGGGGGACACTGGCTCTGTCCGGAAGGATGCCTCAGCCCGGGGAGCCCTCGAAGCGATGGGTTAGGACTCAGTGATGGCGAACCTATCACATGCGAGCTCATTTTTTTGGTTGATTTTTCTTTGTTAAATGGCATTTAAATATATAAAATAAATATCAAAAATATAAGTCTTTGTTTTACTATGGTTGCAAATATCAAAAAATTTCTATCTGTGACACGGCACCAGAGTTAAGTTAGGGTTTTTCAAAATGCTGACACGCCGGGCTCAAAAGGCTCTCGCCATCACCTACCCCTTAGGTGGATGAGGATTGAAATAGGGTGGCCTTGAACCCCGTAACCCGGGTAACCTAAGCAAAGAGAACAATATAAAGGCATACAACGGAAAAGAACAACGCAAGTAGTGTAGTTTTGACGGCAGTGTTGTGGCATTTAGAACACGTGATGGCATTCTAAAGAGCCCAGACTGTATTTTCTACAAAGTGGTAAGAGAAAAAAAAAAAGTGTTTTCCACAGATTACAGTTCCGTTTCACAATCACTTACTCGGCATCCATAGCGGGAACCTGGGATTGTTTGACAATCTTGGTCTCATCCAGAATAAGGTAGAGTGAGGAGAGCTTTGCGCATGACTCTCGGTCTGGAAACTACCTCTCAGTTGTTGCAATCCCTCCTCACTTCCTTCCCTTTGGCCTTTAAGGACCAGAGGAATAGTGACAAATTGCAAATGGATTCCAAAGATGATCTGAAAGTACACTGGACAGAGCATTAAAAAATCTGAGGGAAGTGCTTTGGGTGAGCCTAACTAATGGATTCTTCATATAAAGTAAAATTTGGTTTGGATGTGTGTTTGGATGTTTAATTCATTTAGCAAATACATGTCTGATATATCAGCCATTGTGTTAGCTTGGAAACTAGAGTTCTAAACTTCAGATTCTTCATCTGTAAATGGGAATGATAGTACCTCAAAGTTGTAAAGATGAATGAGATGATGTTTGTGTTATCGCTGTGCCTGGCTCTCACTAGAAATATTTTAAACTAGAAGCCCCATGCAGGAAGATTCGTGCAAGAATAGGCCTTCCTTCCCCTGGCTGCCGGCTGGGCAGAAGCCTGCTTCATTGCCATGGTGATGAGGCAAGTGGCCCTGCCTCCCTCATCTTTGTCACATCAATTTGCATATTCCCTCCTTATTGGCTGTGGGCGCCACCATCTTTTGTTGTGGAGTGCTGGTTAATTTGCATATTCCATCTTCATTAGATAGGACAGTACTATGGACTATATATTTGTTTTAAATTCTCTTTACCTTTCTTATTGGCTCTAGGCCTTTACTTGAGAATTGAGATTATCTCGTCTTGGCTCTTTAGTCCTTGTGTTAGTGACTACGTAATGTACATAGTTAATATTTGAAGGTAATTGGCACAAAAGTTGACAGTTACAAGAGGCATGACTTTTTTATGTGTGCTCATAACTAAAGCTGCTGATTTGCATAGTAGGGGTCGATGAAAATATTTTCATTAAATAAGAGATGGCTTAGAAAATGCTTGACAAATTATAAGAACTTATACTTCACCCCTACTCCCAAAGGGCATTTTTCATGAAGGGAAGGATTCTTGACTTAACTTAAAAACTCAGAAAATTGCTCTAACTGGTTTGGCTTAGTGGATAGAGCATCAGCCTGTGGACTGAAGGGTCCCAGGTTCAGTTCCGGTCAAGGGCATGTACCTTGGTTGAGGGCATATCCCCAGTGGGGGTTGTGCAGGAGGCAGCTGATCCATGTTTCTCTCTCATCGATGTTTCGCTCTATCCCTCTCCCTTCCTCTCTGTAAAAAATCAATAAAATATACTTTAAAAAAAAAAAACTCAGAAAATTTTTATTTGGTTAAATTTCCTCTTAATACTACTTTTCCCACTAATTAGGAGACTGGTCAAGTAAAAAGCTGTATTAATGAGAAATCAACATATTGGAACATAGTATTACTACACTTCCCCTAAAAATTTTGGGAAGAAAAATAATTAGTTTCCTTTGTAATCTGAACTTCCCTCTGCTATTGTTTTCAGACAGTTTCATTTTAAACTGAGCAACTCCTATAATTTGTTCATAGGAAGTTCGAATTCCTTTTAATAACAGGTAAGAGGTGGAACTTAATTTGAAGCTGGCACCAAAGAAAGATCTCTACTTACTAGAAAATGCCAAAAAATAAATAAATAAAAATTGCATAGTAAATGAGGTTGCTAGAATTAGCAAATAAAAATATGGGATTCCCAGTTAAGTTTGAATTTCAGACAAATAACAGCTTATTTTTTAGCAATATTTGGAACATATTTAATGTGAAAATTATTTGTGCATTATCTAAAATTTAACTTTAACCGAGCATTCTGTATTTTATCTGGCAACTCCAATAGCAAGTAATTCTAACCCCACAGTGACACCTAAGGAATGGATGCTTAGAAAACAGTATAATTGTGCAGACAGTTTAATTCCTTCAAGTGTTCCTCCAAAAATTACATACAGTACTCAAAGTGTGCCAAAAACAGAAGACTTTGTGATACTGGGACAGAGAAGAAATTCTCAAACAAAAATGCACATATCAAACGAAATATATCACAAAGTCTTCTGTTTTTTTGTAAATATACTTTCATGCTTAATTCTTTAATCCAACTGGAATTGATTTTTGTTTGTGAGAGAGAAATCTTATTCTGCCTTTTTCCACATGGTTAGGCAGTTTTCCAAGCATCTTTCATTAAATTCTTCTTCCATTAATGTGTAATGCCCACTGATTTATAATACCATATGTTATACATCTTCCTCTTTTCATGGATCTATTTGTCTATATTATGCTGATACCAGCTTTCATTATAATAGTTTTATAGTAAATGTCCTACTCTGTTTTTCTTCACGATTCTCTTGGCTTACTTGGACCTTTACCCTTCCATGTAAACCATTTTACTAAATTCCAAGAGGAAGTAGGCGGAACACCTAATGGGATTTTGATTAGAATAGTTTTGAATTTATAAATTCCTGGAGAATTGACATATTTACTATAGACTTTCCAAGGCATATTTCTTCAGCATTTATTAAAAGTATCTTTTTTGCCGAAACCGGTTTGGCTCAGTGGATAGAGCGTCAGCCTGCGGACTGAAAGGTCCCAGGTTCGATTCCGGTCAAGGGCATGTACCTGGGTTGCGGGCACATCCCCAGCAGGAGATGTGCAGGAGGCGGCTGATCGATGTTTCTCTCTCATCGATGTTTCTAACTCTCTCTCTCTCTCTCTCCCTTCCTCTCTGTAAAATATCAATAAAATATATTAAAAAAAAAAAAAGTATCTTTTTTGTCTTTCTGTTTGATAATTTTGCCATAAAAGCCTTAGGTGTCTTTTTTAAGTTTTATATGTTTTGTAAGGTATCTTAAAGTGCTTTTGGTTTCCAATATTTTTGTTGAATTATCTTGCTACTTCTAATAGTTTGCTAAAACCTCATATTTTCCATGTAGATAGTTAAATAATCTTTGAGTAATATTTCTTGTTTCTTTCTTTTCAATTCTGATACCTTTTAATATGGTGTTAAATGGAAGCTGTGACAGCAGGTATTATGTAGTTCTGACTTTAAAGGAAATGCTTCTGATGCTTCATGATTAAATATAATAATATTTCTTGTATACTTTTTGTTAAATACCTTTCTTTTCCTTTTTTGCTAAGAGTTTTCTTTCTTTTAAACAAGTATTGAGTTTTATCAAATGCCTTTTCAGTTTCCCAGATAAAACATTTACAGCACAAATCTGACTCTCTTTAATATTTTCTTCAGGGTGACCAGCATATCACTTATTGGAGAGAGGTCAGTTGCTCAACAGAATTAAACAGGAAATTTGCTAGAATCAAGAATGATGGATCCGTGTTCAGTTGGAGTTCAGCTTCGTACCACAAATGAGTGCCATAAAACCTTCTATACTCGTCATACAGGTTTCAAGACTTTGCAAGAATTGTCATCAAATGATATGCTTTTACTTCAACTTAGAACTGGAATGACACTTTCTGGGAACAATACAATTTGCTTTCATCATGCAAAAATTTACATTGACAGATTTGAGGATTTGCAGAAGTCATGTTGTGACCCCTTTAACATCCATAAAAAACTAGCCAAAAAAAACTTGCATGTAATTGACTTAGATGATGCCACTTTCCTGAGTGCAAAATTTGGCAGACAGCTTGTACCTGGTTGGAAGCTTTGTCCAAAATGCACACAGATAATCAATGGAAGTGTGGATGTTGATTCTGAAGACCGGCAGAAAAGAAAACCTGATTCAGATGTATGTATAGTAGTTATTTTTTTTTGCTATGTTATTTCTACACCATGGGGTTTTGTTTAACTATAAGGAAGTCATATTTACATTATTGTTTACTAGAGGCCCAGTGCACGAATTCATGCACCAGTGGCGTCCCTCGGCCTGGCTGGCGGGATCAGGCCGAAACCAGCTCTCTGACATCCCCCAACAGGTCCTGGATTGCAAGAAGGCACAGGCCAGGCCAAGGGACACCACGAGTGCACGATCGGGACCAGGGAGGGATGCGGGAGGTTGGCCAGCCGGGGAGGGACCGCGGGAGAGCTCCAGGGCATCTCCGGCCTATCTTGCTCAGTCCTGATCAGCCAGAACCCAGCAGCAAGCTAACCTACCGGTCGGAGCATCTGCCCCCTGGTGGTCAGTGCACGTCATAGCAAGCGATTGAGTGGCCTTAGCATATCATTAGCATATTACACTTTGATTGAACAGATGACCAGACACTTAGCATATTAGGCTGTTATTGTATAGGATTATACTAATCAGCATGCAGTGAATGTAAAGTTGGGGAAGTGAAAATAAATGGTGTTTCTAAATATTTCTAGATACCTAGATCAGCGATTTTCAACCTTTCATCTCATAGCATACATAAAGTAATTTCTAAAGTTCTGTGGCACGCCAAAAAAGATATATTTTTGGCCAATGGACAAAATACACAGGTATAATTTTTATTTCATTTACACTGGACAGCTGTTGTTGTGTTGGCTGTTGTCGTTTCTTTATTTGACAGTTTAAGGGGAAAGAGGTCAGTTCCCCTGACTACATAGTCCAGTATTGCATGTTTTAAAAATTCTTGCAGCACACCAGTGTGCGGGGGCACACCAGTTGAAAATCTCTGACCTAGATTGAATGATAAAGAAAGTAAGTTTGGGAAAGGAATAACATAATATGCCCAAGACTCTCTTTAACCATATCAAAACAACTTAAGATTTCATAAAGCTCTCTTTGGTGTAGAACAAGGACAAATATGTCAAAGGAGCACTGCTTAAAATTTCTATTTGTAACTAATTTATAATTCTTGCAGCTGGGAAGAATTGTAATTTTTCATTATATTAATAAGTCAAGAGGTAACTAAATTTTAAATTATGTATAGTGCTTTCCTTTGTATAGTGCTCCCCCTAGAGGCCTATCTCCGGGACTCAGTGGTATCTTGCAGTTCATACTAAGTACTTGCTGCTGTCACTTCACCACTTTATTTATCGTTGCTCTTGAGGAACGTATCACATAAAGCTGTTTCCCCCAGGTAACAAACTTAAACTCTTCACCATCAAAATTTGTAATGCATTTTAGGACTTATTCTCTGCTTTTGAAAACATAATAACAAGAGAAACTTTTCTGAAGGACTCAGGATCATTAGTAGGACCCTCAGGTTATAAAGCAGTTTTTCTGACTTCTCTCACATGTTGGCAACAGCTATTTCAGTTTTCACCGTGTCTGTGCCCTTCCTCTCCTATATGCCAGAAATTAAAATTAGGTAAGGAAAATATTACATGTAAATTACCAATAAATTTTTAATATGGTCCAGGGCTGTAAATTTTGTTGTACTTGGGCTCTAAAACCTTTTTTTTTCTTTTTTTTGTGAGTTCCAGACTGTCTTCCAGGTTAAGGAATAATCTGGATTAACAGTAAGTGAAATAGTAATAAAATATGACCTGATGTCAAATTGGTAATTTGTTTACCTTTATTCAGGGAAGAACTGCTAAAGCTTTGAAATCATTACAGTTTGCAAATCCAGGAAAGCAAACTGAATTTCCTCCAGAAACTGGTAAGAGAGAAAAAAGAAGGCTTACAAAAAGTGTAACCTCCAGTTCAGACAGGTAGGCTATGTGTTACTTCCGACATACGTTAACTTTCTGACTCATATCTGTGTTGTTCCCCTATCTTTCTCTTAAGTTTTGAATTTTCTGGGTTAGTATTTTAAATTGGATAATCTGGAATTGGTAAGAACATCTGAAGGCCTCATAAATAATTGACATCTTTTTCAACTTGAAAAATTTGTTTCTAAGAAAGTATCAATGAAGTGAACAAGATAATATTTTTGCATAAGAATTAAAATAATTTAAACAAACTATTCTTAGAATTAAAGTAATTGAATTTTTTGAAAAGCATTGATGTATAATTGGTATATCTGCTGTATGAGTGGCAGCAGGAAAGTAAATTTTATGAGAAACTTTATAGGTATGAAATGGAAAAGTTATGGTACAGTCACCAGAGTGAATGAGGAAACTAAATTGTTTAGATGTGACTTTTTAAATTGAGCATTTCTAAAATATAAATTGATAAAGAAATATTAGTATAATCATTCAGAATTTTCTACAGATTGCATTTATTCTATCTGTTAAGGTTTTCTGTTGAGTCATATAAGTATTTTTAAGTCAGATTTGCTGCAATCCATCAAAGAACTTGAAACAGATTAGTTGCAGCATAAAAACCAGTAGGGTAGTACACTGTAATAAAAATAAAATGATATTCACAAAGCAGTAAAGAGATTGGTAGCCAACAAAAAGTACCTCTATTAACTACCCATTTTCCTTTTCTTAACGGTAAGGGAAGTTTTAACAGAAATATACCTATTTTTGGACAAAGTTCTTGTCCATTCTTTTGTTGAGTTGATTTTTCAATGGACTTTGAGAGGAATTTTAGGCTTATTGTATTTGTGTCAATTCTTCAGAGTAGGGTCTCTTCTGACGAAGAGTTCATACTACTGCTAGCTGTAGAGTAGCCTTGAGTCTGGTAAGTTATGTACCAGTTTGGTAGGACTTCATCCCTAATTCAGAATATTTTATCTCCTTAAATTTTTCCATTACCTTATTTTCAATTAAGTATTCAAAAAGTGATATACTTGTGAGGTGTAATTCGCCTTTGTTTATTTTACAGACAAGTGATACCAGCCAAGAGTAAGGTCTATGATAGCCAGGGTCTCCTGATTTTCAGTGGAATGGACCTCTGTGACTGCCTGGATGAAGATTGCTTAGGGTGTTTCTATGCTTGTCCTGCCTGTGGTTCCACCAAATGTGGAGCTGAATGCCGCTGTGACCGCAAGTGGCTCTATGAGCAAATCGAAATTGAAGGGGGAGAAATAATTCATAACAAACATGCCGGATAATTTGTAGCATTTCATTATGGGATCTTTAAAGTACTTTCTCTATTTCTAAAATTCTGTCATTCTCAAATGCATTTTAAAGTTGATTGCCAAATGACAAAAATTTGAAAACTACCTTAACATGCACTCAACCAGCGCTAATATTGTGAATTTATTTCAGCAGCCACTTAGAGCCTATCTGGGCCAATGTAAACAAGTAAGGCATAAGCACTCCTCAATTTGCACAATTCACAAAGCCACAAATTCCGATAACAATGATTTAGTTGAATAACACCAGTTCCCTAACAGTACAGTTCAAATTTCAGTTTCCAGGATATATTAACCATGAGTAAAGTACATGAAGTAGTCACTGTGAATAACAGATGTATTTTATGATCAGTGGCCAATCACATTACTTCTCAAATTCTGCTGGAGGTTGGTCACTGCACATCTGTTAATCAGTCCACTTTCAGACAGCAAAGCATACAGGTATATTTCCTTGCCCCACATGTGACATTTTATAAAAGTAGGTAATGGAAAGAATGGGCAAATAAATTAAAAGTGATAATGCCAGACAGAATTGAGATTCGAGGTGAACGTTAATGGAGTTGTAGAAGTCGCTGATCATGGGCATGTTGACAGTGCTGCTTTTCAACCTAGAGCCTCTGGATATGCAGCCAGAGAAATTTAGTGGCAGCAAACTTCCCAACATAAATGAGGAAAGGTTTTGTCCCCGAGGAAGTGATGTTAGAAACTTCACATTAAAGGAAATTGCAGAAATATTTTACGACATTCAAAGTACAAATGCTGAAATATGGAAACTAATCCAAATTTAAAGGAGAATGACAATTTGCTATGGTATAAGTTACTGGACAAAAAAAAGCAAGCACTGTTTAAATGACTAGATTAATTTTTTACAATGAAAGAACATGAATTCTCAATCTTTCTAATGTTTTAAATTACAGTGTACTAAATACTTTTATAATTTTTCCATTTACATTTTAACTGAACAGAACAAGTATCATTTTCCTCATTGATTATTAACAAAGATTGGCCATTTTTTTATGATCCCATACTATCATGCAAGGCAAGAACTGCCTGTAACTGAGAAAAGTGCCTACTTTAGGAAAAATTAATTTTGATGCAGTGGTTGAGTGCTAAACTGTTTTTGGAATAATCCACATACCTGTACTAAAATATGCCATTTCTTCTCCCCACTTAAACTCTTCAAATAAATGTTTTAATACTGTAAACCTTTCATTGTTTAGACCATGCTTTCTTGCTGAAAATGTGTTCTTTGTCGCAAAAATCTTATTTCTGTATTTAAAGCAAAAATATACATAAGTATATAAATAGATGTTGATTGCAATTAGAGGACTAAAAAAAGACTCCTTAAGGGAATAATAATAACAAATAGAGAAACACTGGTTGAGACTATAAATTATTTGGAAATTGAAACTTGATGTTGGGATTTGTATGGGTGTTGTTTGGAGGATGGAGGTGGGTGATAACTTCTCTCTGCCCTTTATTTTTTTAAAACATAAAAAAATATGTTTTAAAATACCTGTTCTAAATCTTTCATTATCTAGGATACTGCCACTAATCTAGATTTTTGTCTTGTCTTCCCTAAATATAGTACTTTAGTTGAATCAGATGAGCTTAAAACAACTTGAGATATTTTTTAGCCATTGAAACTATAAATTTATACAACCAGTTTTATTGACCAATAGAGATTTATTTTTATTTTTGTACACTCTTAGTATCTCTTTACTTTGTTGGAATGCCATTTTCAACCATGAAATTAACAGTCATTTTTAAGATATAATTGTTCACTGACCTAGTTATCAAAAGTACAGTTAATTCCTTCATTTAAACGTTTCAACAGCACTGGCAAAAAGAATATTTTAGCTTCATATGCTTAAATAGCTAAATTTTCTTAAATTAAGGAAATATGTTCTTATAAAGGACTTAAACATAGACTCCAATTTTGTCTGAACTTCCAGGATCATTAGACCTTCTTAATTGCATTTCTGCCATCATTTCTTAGAGACTCTGTTTAAAACGAATATCTTTTCAACAGAATACATGACTTTAAAAAATTCAAATATTTTAATTTCAGCATTACTTAGTAGAACACTTTTGTGTTATTTTCAAAGATAGTAAGTTTTTCAAGGGAAAATTTTTTGGAGAACAATTATCAATTATGCTAATGTTTCTTTATTGTGCCTATTTAGGAGACCAAGTTTTTAACGAGCATGCTAAAGGTTTGTAGAGAACGATATATCTGATTTTTATCACAAGTCCACTTACTGTTTTTTAATTTCAGAAATACAGAAAACAATAAAATTGTCTAGACCCTTTTAACATTTTGCGGATGATTCAAGGTGGCTAAATTGTTTTAGAATGCTATTACTCTTTTAAAAAGCAAAAATAAAAGTTCAGTAACATTTAACTTCTGCTGTATGTGGCTCCTGGTGGAGAAGTTAATATGAGACCACAAACATTGATCTTACACAATGTTTTGGCCACAAATGTTAAAAGTAAAAATGTGTGTATACTTTATATTTGAATAAAATAAATGGCATCCCATGTGATTTTTCTCGTGTCTTTTTCAAATATAAGAAAATAACTTTGGAATATTTTATGTACGATTCTTCTGTTTTTAAAATATTACATCTAGTTCAATGTAACAGGCTATTCTAAAACTGCCTGGCATGGATTCAACTAAGTAATTTTTAGCAGATGTATTTTGGAGCATACATATACGTATACATATATAGGCAGTGATTTATTAATACAGAATATAATTTTAGTAAGTTCTAGCATAGTTCTTAACTTTTTGGAGATCAGAGACCCCTGTGAAAAGTTGATGAAAGCTATGAACTCTCCCCAGAAAACTAATATTCATGTACAGTAGGTCCTCCGGTTACATAGGAGATCCGTTCCTACTGCGCAATGTAACGCGATTTTGCCAAAAGTCGGAACCACCTACATAAGCACCTACTTCACTCACATGGAGCACATACACAGTGCCATGTGATGAAGTGAAACAGTAAAAAAAATTAAAAGATAATTCCTGACCTTTATTTGTGGTAAGTAATAGAAAACATAAAGCACATACGTACATACATCTAAATGATGGAACTTTTTTTATATAAATACTGTAAATGGAAGATGGCGACGTCACCATGAAACAACGTATGTCGAGTCCGATGTAACCCACATAACCCGAGTGAAGCATCCATCATATATAAAAACTGCTGTTTGAAATTTTAACCCTGCTATTTCTGGCTTCCGTAAATGCTTGCTGGCTTAAATAATAAGGAAAATAAGACTACTCCCATTTCGGAGACGTCATTAAACCTCCAGACGAAGTTATTAGTGCTGGCGTCAGGCCAAGCCTTTGGTTGAGGTCTCAAAGCCCCAGCACATAGGGCCCTTTAAGATCTTGCAAAGGGAACCGGAAAAACCCCATATTTGAGAGACAAAGGTAAAATAGCATAAATATGGGAAACTTCGTGTGTGATGGCATCCAGAATTTGAGAGACATTTTCCTCTGGGCTCGCGCGTAATAATAAATGTAACTCCATCTCTCTAAGCGTTGCTTGGTTCTTCTCTGGTTTTTTTGTAACACGAGGATTGTTTGTACTCACAAATGTTCCATGTTCAGAATCCCTGAACATGGATTGGAGTTCCTGAGTAATAGGAAATATTCTCTAAACCAGTTAGTTTTTTTTTTTTTTTAAACCAAAGGTGGCTGTCTGAAGTGTACTTTGGTTTGTTGAAGGTAGCTTTTTAAAAAAAAAAAAAAAAAAAATTGGAGCAATTCAGTTTTTTGAAAGAGCTGTTCCAAAAACTCAGCTCCCACTGTGGCCTCTCATTCTCACCCCTGCCTCCGCTACCCTTTCCCCCGCCCCCCCCCCCAAAAAAAAAAGGAAATTTACAAATCAAGTAACAATGTAGAAAACTGAGGTGTCTTCAGTGGACTAGGCTCTAGTAATTAGAGATTTTCCATTTCACTGTGGGTTACCCTACTACAAAGAGTTTAACATCCTCCTTGCAAATGCGTGTGGTACTGCCTTGGTTTTTGCTGACATCTGCTGGTATCTTCATGAAAATAAACCACAGCTACTACTGGCCACTTACTCTCATCTCTTCTAGGTCAAACTTTAAGCACTGGTAATTACATTGAAGTGGGAAATTAAAACAAAAATTCTAGAAGTAGAAAAGCTTCTCCTGTTAGCCTTCTTAGGACTTGCCCAGCAGTTGTCCACCATGGTAGGTTTAACTTTTAAAAATATGAGTGAGGATGCAAAAGTATGCATAGGCACTTTTTGGGTTGCTTTTATTTTTATAAAGTGGCAAAACTTAGAAAAATGATGTTTTTATCTACGTATCTTTTTTAAATTGTCAAACACTTCATTGAATGCTTTCTTGATTTAAAAGGTGTAATAGGCTTCCATAGAATATGTATCCCAACTTGTAAATTTTTTGTGATGGTAAAGTGCTGAGGTTTGACTCATTTTACCAAGATAATTTAACTTCTAGAAGATGGAGGAAATTGACCAGATAAAGCAATTGGGTTAATAATGCTATATCTTATCGCTTCTCGGCCTTTTGGCTAAGATCAAGTGTAGTATCTGTTCTTATCAGTTTAATAATGCTATATCTTTAAATGCAATTTGAAAATATTTAACTACAGCTTATGAAGTGGCACAATTAAAATACATTGTTTTTCCCCGTGATTGAAACCATGAGGGACTACTTCCTTCGTGACACCTAATGATTAGAAACTTCAATTTTTCATTTCATCTCACTACAAGCAAACAACTGTTTTATTCAGGAGTTGCCAGAGTTTTATTCAAGAGTTTCTAGGCTATGGTTTTGAGATAAACGGGCTTACTAAAAATAAAGTGTGTGCAAGCATTGATAAAACTGCCAAAACCTGAAACTATCAACTTCAACAGCTAACATTTGCAAACACAAAAGAAGTTGTAGGCTCATGATCTTCATTGGAAGCATGCTGGATAATACTTTCTTTTACCCAATTCTTTTCACAGGCACATTTTACTTTAATGAAATAACATAAAAACCAGACGTTAGCTCAGGGTTCAGGATCTTTGTCCTTTCAAGAGAAAGAAAACATCTAAAATCAAGTTTGAAAACCTTAAAACAGTCTTTAATTGGAGACCGTTTGAAACAATTCAAAATGTAAATAGGGGCTCTGTAAATATCTTGTTATCAACAAACAATCAGAACAATGAGATAAATCCAAATTAAATTGGTTTTAATTGTTTTAAATTCTGGTAGCTGAAATTTATTATTTGGGCTTCAAGGTAGTATTTACTTGTATTCTTTGATGGACTAAGATAAAATAAGGGTGATACTGGTACCATGTAAAAGGTTTTTATGAGATTCTGGGTAAAGCACGAACTTAATTTTGGCATTAAGATAGGTAAAGTTGAGTCCTAGCGGGTTTGGCTCAGTGGATAGAGCATCAGCCTGCAGACTGAAGGGTCCTGGGTATTTCAGTCAAGGGCATGTACCTCAGTTGCAGGTTGGATCCCTGGCCCCAGTCAGGGCACATGCAGGAGGCAAGTAATTGATGTCTCTCTCTCACATCGGTGTTTTTCTCTGTCTCTCCCCGACTCTTCCACCTGCTCTAAAAATCAATGGAAAAATATCCTGAGGTGGGGATTAAAAAAAAAAAAAAAGTGATTCAGGATGTTCAGTGAACTGTGGCATCATTAAGGTTTTTATCTCAGACTTCCCCAAAGGTTATTTGACCTTTTGATTTGGATTGCACTTTTACTGTTTTTCAGTTTAGCATAATATAGTGAGATCAAATCGCTTAAGAAACAAGAGCTTAGACTGCCAGTCTGAAATGACCTGGAGAGAATTGTTCACTTGAGTTTTTTCTTTTTTTCTTTTTGGGAAATAAGGTTTTTAAAAATGCCAACAGCTTCTAGTCACTCAAGGCTTAGTGAATGAGATTATGCAAAGAGAATTTCTGCATAAAATATAGGCCCTACTATTTGGGGCATGCAAATTAGATTTCTTTTTCCAAAATAATTTGGCTCATGGCATTCCTAAATTGGGCCACAAGAGGACGTTCCTATAGGAAATGTTGAAATGAAAAAAGAAACATTTCCAAAAATTTTCAGCAAAAGTTTGCAACTCATTCCAAAAGGTATAGTTGAACAAATGCATATATTCTCTTTGATGTATTTGTATCAAAGAACTACACATAGATTTAAGCATCAGAGAACAGATGAAGATCCCTAAGAAACCAAGCCTCACAACTGTGACACCCACAACCCACATTAGAAGGCTCCTCTTTTAAAAGAAATGGCCCTAGGAGATTCTTTATACTCCAAATTTCATTTTTCCCCGCTCCCAACTGATTGGGTTGGTGGGAGACCTGACCCAAGGAAAGCTAATCTTTATCTTGGCCAGAAGCTTATAAGTCGGACAAATGTTAAGGAAACACTGCCCAAAGGAGAAGGTGATTAACTGCACCAATCACATTTGGGAAATTAAATTTTTAAAAATTTATCTTTATTGTTGAAAGTATTTCCCATTGACCCCCTCCACCCAGCACCCACCCCACCCCAGGCCTTCACCACCCTATTGTCTGTGTCCATAGGTTATGCATATATGCATATAAATTCTATGGTTAATGCCCCCCCCTCCCCCCGAGCCCCCAGAAGGTGAGGAGGAAAGAATTCAGTTTGTATAAGGAGAGATGAATTGACAGAATAGCTAAGACACTCTAATGGAATGCTAGGGTTCTATACATAAACACTCAGGAGGCAGCAACTGCTAGGGCTGCCACTGAGTTACGGGAGCTGCTACAAGATTTATACATCTGTTATGTCTCAGAAATAGCCAGTCTCAATGAAGCCTGGCCACACAGTCAAGATCCCTCTTATTTGTGTACTAGAGGCCTGGTGCATGAAATTCGTGCATCGCAGCCCCAGCTGCCTTGGCTGGCCCTCGCAGCCCCGGCTTCATCCAGAAGGTCGTCTGGACAGTTGTTCTGCCGTTTGGTCTAATTAGCATATTAGCTCTTTATTATATAGGATGAATACTTCCAACAAACACTCCATTACTAAAGAGAATCTTAAGGAGTTAGTTCATTCACCCAAAGAGCTTTACTAATGAATACTCTGCCCTTCTGGTTTAGAGAGAAGAGACTGGAGGTGAAATGTCATGCTGCTGCATGTTAGTAGGTCTGGAGTAGGAGCAGAACATTTGCATTTCTAGCCAGTTTGCAGAGGAGGTCGAAGTGGCTAGTCTGGGAACCACACTTGAAGAACCACTGCTCTTCAGGGGTGGTTCTCAACCTTGTATGCACATAGAAATAACTTATGGAACATCAAAAAAATTCCTTTACCTTGGCCTTACCTCCCAGACACTTGATTTCACTGGTCTTGGGTTTAGACCCAAACTGAGCATTGAGAGGCCATCTTCCTCATGGCTCAATGTGGGATCACTCAATTCAAGAAGATAACTGTGACGGTTGATTTTATGTGTCTACTTGGCTAGGCCATGGTATCCAATATTTGGTCAAACATGACTCTTGATGTTCCTGTGAAGTTTTTTTTTTAGATGTGGTTAGCATTTGTATCAGCAGACTTTGAATTAAGCAGATTACCTCCCATAATGTGAGGGGCCCTCATCCAATCAGTTGAAGGCCTTAAAAAATACTGATGTGCCCCAAGGAAGAAGGAATCCCACCTCCAGACTGCCTTCAGACTCAAGCTGCACCATCAACTCTTCCCTTGGTCCCCAGAATGCAGATTTTTGGCTTCCCAATCCCCACAGTTTTGTGAGCCAATTCCTTACAATAAATCTTTCTCTCTGTATATACATCTTCTTGCTTTCATTTCTTTGGAGAACCCTGGCTAGTACAATAACCTAATTAGTCTCCATTCCAAGTTGGTTCTCAGAAAGTCCTGGCTCTAAATCAAAGAGTATAAACCCTTAACTAGGTTTTTTTCCCCTATATCTAGCCTTAACGTTAATATTAACGTTTAAATAAAAAAAAAAAAATTGAAACCCATAAAGAATATTTGTGAGTTTATTTGAGCCAAACTGTCAAAATATGTCAAGAAGCAGAACCTCAATGAATTGAGATAATGCTCTGGAGAATGGGGAGTAATATCTTGTTTTTATAAATTACCATGAAAAGGAAAATACCTAAGTGGGCTACATGAAATCCATTGGTGACAGATTAAGGAGGTGGAATAAAGCAAAGCGGGGGAAGCTTCTGGGATAAGATAAAAAGTGAAATGATGGGCATGTGTTTCTTTTACATAGATGGATACAGGACAGTTTAACATAATTAACAGAACAATGAGGGAATGTCCTGGTGCCATTTGTTGTGCCCTGAGGGGTCCGGGGGGTGGGAGAGGGGGGAGGGAAGTTACAAGTTACCCAGACATTTCACAGATATCTTATCTTTGAGGCAAAAAGACAAATGGGCTCAGTAAAGATCTAAGTTGATCTTTGTCAGGGAAAATACTGGCCTAGGATATGACTACCCACTATAACCTGTTTGTAAATATTTAATTTTCAGACCATCTTTTGTGGTTATTGTAGGTCTTTGAGTTTGCACAACCACTATGCAGGCCTTCCCTGAACTAGTCAGGTTAGCATATGGTCCCTTTTGTCCACAATATATAAGCATTCTTGAATCTGTTTTAGGTTTTTTGTTCATTTTTTCTCTACCACCCAGTTAAAAATCTATAGTGTATTTTATGCCCAGTATTAATTCCCCTTTTTGCTGTTAGCACTTAATTTAACTTTGAGCAGCCACCCTTTTACTCTCAGACCATGTAGTTCAAATGGCATTGACCTCTGTGGTTCCAGGGGCGGGCGCAGCACTAAGTCCTGGCCTTTGAGAATGCCGCATCTCCCCAGCCTTAGAGAATGTTTTAAGGGCAGGTACATGACTAGCCAGGCCAATCAAAGCCAATAAACATCAGCTTTGCTGGGGCTAGAGAAAAAGAGATGCTCTTTTTTCAAGGAGGCTTGCTAAGCTTATAGATTTAAGACTGGATCTATTGGTGGCTGATCTGGACAAGATTTAAGAAAAATCTGCCTTAGAATGAAAACATAAGTAAAACAGAAGCCACGGTCCAAGACAGACAGGATCTGTGAGTACCTGGATTTAGTTACATTGGAAGTCACCCTTGAACTCAGTTACATCAGCCAATCATTTTCTCATTTTCCCCACGATTGTCCCTTAGGTGAATACAAGGTAGTGACCAGATGGAGAGTTAGCTCTGTTCATATAAGTATAAAACTCACCAGCGTTCAAAGGTAAAATGGCCTGTTTAAAACCCCTGCCCTTAACACTTACATACAGTCATCCCCCCTTATCCAACAGTTTCGCTTTCTGCACTTTCTGTTACCTGAAGTCAACCACGGTCTGAAAATATTTAATGGAAAATTTCAGAAATAAATAATCTATAATGGTTGCCATTCTGAGTAGCGTGATGAAATCTCGCAGGGCCACTCCTTGCCCCCCCCCCCCCCCATGGGAATCATCCAGCCTCTCCACACTGTGCAGGCCCCCACCCGTCAGTCACTTAGGAGCCGTCGGGGTTCTCATACTGACTGTGGTGGTATCACAGCGCTTGTGTTCAAGCCACCCTTATTTTACTTAATAATGTCCCTAAGGCGCAAGAGTGGTAATGCTGGTAATTCAGATAAACACCATGAAAAGCCCTAAAGTGCTTCCTTCGGTGAAAAGGGTGAAAGTTCTTGACTTCATAAG